AAAGCTAGATAATCTCTAAGTTCTCTTTCAGACCTAATATTCTGTTATGAATATCCAGCTCTAAATCTATGATTCTGTGATCAGTGTTACTATGTTGTGTGTAATACAGATGCCTTCAAGGGCCACCAGGGTCATTAGGATTCTTGGTCTCCCCATCAGGAGCCAGGTCTGAGAGTGATTCAATCCACTCAGTTTATGAAATGAACTTTTCCTGAGTCCTGACTTAAAGTGTCTTTCCTGGTGGGGTCAGGTGCTAAGGACACTAAGCTGTTCCTGCTGTGTTCCAACCAGGAGAAGTTATGAATGTTCTATACATGTGTGGTAGAGGTTGGTACTTTCTGCCCACCTTTTCCTTTGAAGGATGACAAAGCACAAAAGAAGTCCAGCAGCCACCCTAGGGTAAACAAAGGCTAAGCAGTGTTAGAAGCTCCTATTTCAGATGAAGAGGAGGTGTTAATGATAAAACTGGAAAGAGATTCTAGGGTTCTGATACCTGACCCAGGGCCTTTTCTCCTTGCCCATATTGCTTTCAGATATATTGATCATGACAGATTTGCAGCCCATGGAAGGGAAATGACCAACTCCTGACCCAAAACAAGAATTGATCCCTTCTCTTCAGTTTGCTAGTCAGCAAGGGAAAAGGCATATGAAGAGCCTCCTATCTTTTGACTCTTCACATTTAAGAGTCTCCAAAGACTACAAAGGGGACATTATTAATACCTACCAATGGAAAGTTTGGCTAGAAGACATTAAATCATTGATGGAAAATGGATATACTTTATTGCAGCCATGGAGGCAACAAAGTATGGTGGGAAGAACAATGGATCTGTAAAAAGACTTGGGTTCAGATCCTGCCTCAGATATTTACTTACCTGTATGACCCTGGGCAAGTCACTTAACCCTAACCCTAATTCTCAGTTTTTGTCTATAAAATGGAGATGGTAGTAGCATTTACTTCACAGGATGGTTGTGAGGACAAAATTATACAGACACATATGTAAATATATATTTACATATGTATGTATGTATTGTTTTGTAAACTGTAAAGTGCTATGTAAATTCTATCTAAGTTTTCTTGTTTCCCTATTTGGCTTAGCCCGGGCCTTAGTCCTGGAATACAGAAGCCAGAATCACCCTCAGAAGACAATCTACTACAGAGAACAGCTAGCAGTTTGATCCCTGGGTAATCTGTACTTTGCCTACTGTAGGACAGGGGCGAGAGATACTTGGCATCATAGGAACTTGCCCAGCCCCTTTTAACGAAGAGTAATCTGACCTTGCAGACAGCAAGCAAAGGGTTGTCGGTGTGCAAGAATCAATATTAAGTGATTAATAATAATAGTTAGCATTTATATAGTACTTTAAGATTTGCAAAACACTTCACATATATTTAATCCTTACAATAACCATGTGAGGGAGGTACTATTATTATCCCTGTTTTACAGATGAGGAAACTGAGGCAGACAGGTTAAGTGACTTGTCCAGGGTCACACAGCTAATATCTGAGACAGAGTTTCCTGACTTCAAATCCTGCTGCACCACCTAACTGCTTCAATTAGTAACTGATTAAATAATTTATTGACATGATAGTTCACATTTCTTTAGTGCTTTCAGGTTTACAAAGTGCTTTCTTCCTAACAACTCTGTAAGGGAAGCATTCTAAGTATCATTATCCTAATGTTTCAGTTAAAGAACTAAAGCTTGCCAAGGTCTGACATAGGGCCACAGGTTGGACTGGGCCTTCTGACTTGAGAGCCGGTGTGTTCTGTCCAGGATACCACTACAGCCTTCAAGATACAGATGCTTCATAGCTAAGAATGAGCTCCGTTTCAATTCAGGGAATATGAGTAGTATTGTCCTCTGTAGGCAGCTGTTTGCAGCTGGAGCAATGGAGACACAAAGGTTAAGTGACTATGCCTTTGTCACACGATAGCTGGCAGAACTGATACTCGAACCCAGGTTTCCTAACTCTTAAGCCAGGTGATCAAACCTGGAATTCTCTCCTCCACCCTCACCTCTTGGAACCCCTAAGCTTTCTTCAAGGCTCAGCTCAAGTGACATTTCCTTCAGAAAGCCTTTTTTCATTACCCCAGTAAGTAGTTCTACTGATATCATTTTATTTTTTTCTGTACAATGTGTTCTATGCCCTTAGTAGAATGTAAGCTGATTGAGGGCAAGGAGTGTCTCATTTTTCCATTTGTATCTTCAGCACCTAACATAGAAGAACATGGAACACAGAAGTTGCTTAAAAATGCTTGTTGGTTGTCTCATCTTTCCACTGTTAACATGATGTGTGCTCATTTTCTCTTTTGCTATTTGCGACTATCAGGAGTTTCAAGTTCTCAAGGTGAACAATCAGTTCAGAACAAACAGTTGTGGTGGGAAGTGAAATGAGTTTTTACCTTCTTGGCACAGATAACCCCAAATAGGTTTTTGCATTGATTTAAAGTAAGACTTAGGGTGCTTCTTTCTGACTTCCTCTAACTTATCTTCATGCTATTTATTTCTCAGTAACATATTAGCAAGTTAATCATATCAGATCATTTTTTCCTCAACAAAGCAACTATAAAACTTTGAGTTTGGAGCCAGATGTTTTTGATTGGGAACCTTCCCAAATTTCTCATCCTAGGACAAGGAATACTCACTTTGTGGTTGGCAGTCAGTCCAGTAAGCCATAAAAAGTTTCTTAGCTGTGAAGGCAAGCAAGTCCCTGTTGCTCATTCTGAGTTACTAATGTCAAAACTCAAGTCTCCTGCTTTGTAGTGGAGTTTTCCTTAGGTATGAGGAATTGATGGTAGGCATTAAGATAAGAAAATGGTGCTGCTCTTTGTTTTGACTATGTGCCTAAAGATGGCAGGGATAATGATATATCTTTCTGTACCATATAATGATTTGAGGATTCACGAGTGCTCCAAAGGAAATCCAAAAATACCTTCGTGGTCAAAAAAGCCTAGAATTTAGAAGCATAACTGGCGATATTGGTGACTGGGACAATTTAGTTGAGTAGGGGAAGAGGAGGAGTCCCTAGGACTCCTATCAATGGGGCAGATTTGAGAAGAGGGAGTGGAAGGAGGCCAGGTTGGGCCATAGAAAAGGAGGGAGTATGTCATTTGGTAGTCAGGCCCCTCTAAATGTAGGTGCCCTGGAACAAAGCCTCATTGTTCTATCCTAATTATAGCTCTGCTGATTCAATTTTGATAGACTTTCTCTCTGGTTATTTTTCCCATATGATCATCTTCATATCTAGTTTCCTTAAATTACCATAATCTTTAACCAGTCTACTTACTCCATCTGACACATACCTCAACTGGAAACCGCAGATACCTATCTTTGTGGCAATGTATTTGTTTCCCAGAATTTTCACCCCTGTTTTCCCTGAATCCTCCCCACCCTATTCCCCATGCATACACTTAGATCAAAATCTAAATGATTGCAGGGCCATTTATCATCCTTATATTTGATAATGTCAGTACTTCTCTTTCACATTACATCTTTCATATGTAATATTATTTTCACAATAACTCTGAGAGGTAGTTAGAGCAGCAAATAGACTTATCTTCATTTGAATCATAACAATAGCTTAAATTTATATAGCACTCTAGAATTGTAAAACTCTTTACATATATTATCTCATTTGATCCATACAACAATCATGTGCAATAGGTTCCTAAGTATTTTTAACCCCATTATACAGATAAGTAAAGTGAGGCTCAAAAAGATTAAGTATTTCTGTTGTTGTTTTCCCAAAGCTACTTAACTAGCAGGGCCAGGTCTCTGATCCCTTGTCCAGTGCTCTGTCTACTACAATCGCATTATAGGATACCTTGGCCTAAGCACCCAAGCTCTTGGGTGGCCTTGGAACCCTGGCAATCTGGGTCGGGAACAAACTGGGGGATACAGAATATTTGTCTAAAGCATTTGAAACAAATGTGAGATGTTTGGCAAATGCAAACTCAGCCAAATTTCCCTGTCAGTCATCTGGACTGTAATGAATTGTTTTGGTTGGGTCAGAGGTACGCAGGTCTGCCAAATACATTAACAGAGAAGTTTTCAGGAAGAGAGAGGCTGAAGAATGATGGAAAGGCCAAGGCATGATGAATAGAGGGCCAGATTCCTGAGTCAGGAAGACCAGGGTTCAGATCCCATCTCTGACACATATTGGCGACATAAATCCAGGCAAGTCATTTAACTTCTTGGGACCCCAGGTACCCATCTAAGATGGCGGGCTGCAGAGCAGGTCCCAGTTTGCACTGGTGTGGGGAGTTTCCTAACTAGGAATTCCCTTGCACTTATGAAATCATGGGCCTATGCCAAAAAAGAGATGCTCACACCTGGGATGAGGCAGGAAAAGCATGTCTCCCATGATAGCCTTTTTAACATACCACTTTTCCCCTAGAGGAGACAGAAAGACAGAGGTCTGGGTTATGCTCAGTTTCCTCATCTGTAAAATGGGGGAGCTGAATTAAATGGCCTCTGAGATCCCTTCTAGTTCCACTTCTATGATTCTGTATGTTGGCTAAGTCTATTCCTAATAATTGCTAGTAATAAAAACTAACATTGATACAGTGCCTACTATGTGTTGGGCACTGAGTTAAGTGTTATAATTATTGTTTTATTTGATTCTCACAACAACCTTGCAAGATAAGTGCTATTATTATCCCCATTTTACAGATGAGGAAAGTGAGGGTAAATGACTTGCCCAGGTTCATACAGCTAGTAAATATCTGAGGCTGGATTTGAACTCAAGTCTTTCACAATGCTGCTCCTGCTTTTCTGTTCTGAGGCCTCAGAGCAGGGGAGACAATCTTGTGACCTGGGGGTGACGCTTCCTAAGAGTTCTGACTCCTCTTTTGTTTGTTTCTTCACATCCTGGATTACCTGCCATAGCATGTACAAGACCTCCCTACATCCTGTGAGCAGACTAACCAAGAAAGTGGCCCTCAGGCATTTCCATCTGTGAGGATGCAATAGAATGACTTCTCTCTTTCTCTTTTCTCCAGCAAAATGGCTGACAAAGCCAAGTCTGGCAAAGCCGCCAACAAGACTCCCCCCAAGTCTCCTGGAGATCCTGCCAAGGAGAAATCAGCTAAACGGCTCTCACTGGAATCTGAGGGCACCAATGAGGGGGCTGCCGCCCCAGAACTCAGTGCCCTGGAGGAGGCCTTCAGGAAATTTGCTATCCATGGAGATACCAGAGCCACAGGGAAAGAGATGCACGGAAAAAACTGGTCAAAACTCTGTAAGGACTGCCAAGTAATCGATGGGAAAAATGTGACAATCACTGACGTGGACATCGTCTTCAGTAAAATCAAGTAAGTCCCTGTTCCTGTTCACTAGCTCCTTTTTTGGACGCAAAGTAGCTTATACTGTTGTGGCTTAGAGAGCTTCATCTCAGCCATAGATTGTAACTCATCATTCCTCCCATATCCTCATTAGTAGATATGTGGATGCCCTTCTCTTCTAGGCAAATATTGGGATTCTTAGAATTCTCCTCATAATCATCTAGGCAGAAGCAGGTACTTCATTTCATTAAATGGTAATATCTTCTGAGAAGACTGACAGTGATGAGGTGGTCTGACTGTCTTCAGAATGTTTGTTGGATGATTTTTTTATTATTATTGACAGGAGAAAAGAGGGGCTGGTATGGGGTCAGGAGATGATGAAGGATCATGACTCTAGACTTTCAGCTTGAGTGCTGTCTGCCATGCTTTTTTGTTGTTGTTGTTGTTGTTGTTGCAGAATAGTGTGCCCTGGTATAGGAACTAGAAATAATAAGAATGTGGGGGAGGAAGAGACCTAGAGAAAGGAGGGCTAGAACAATGTTTATGCAGATGCAATTGTTTGGTGTAGAGAACTGGAATTCCAAATCCTTTGCTGAACTGTGTAATTACTAAAGAAAACAGATCTTGGGACTTTAAATATCTATATTTAAATGAGTAGGGCCTAAGCCTGTGATTTCACTGATATGGGGAACTTCTAGATGAGGATACTATAATTATAGATTGGCCCCTTCTCTGCATCTTAGAGTTCTCTGCATCTTTTAGAATTGCCTAGAGCATTGCTAGGTTAAGCAACTTACTTAGGGTCACCATGTCAATATGTGCCAGGTATTCATGGCATAGAGGCCAGCTCTCTCTCCTCTGTGCTATACTACCTCTTTAAATATCCTCTAAATTATCTATCACTTATTTTATCAACCAGAAACCTTCCAAAACCAGCATTTCTGATAGCTCCTATTATGAATATTCCCTCTATTAACCAGAACAGAGGTTTCTGAACAAAAGGAACCCAGCGTCTGCATGAACAATTCTTGGTGAGGAGATTGGCTCTGGGAGCCAAACTTCATCATCCTTACACGAATGATCACATTTTTTCACAAGCACTTCTCCTTGGCTCTCCTTATCTGCTCAACTTAAGTAAAACAGCAGATGGATTCTTTTCAAACACCAAAGTTTATTTTTTAAGTAAAGTTTTATTTTCAACGCAATCCATCTTTGTGTATTTAAGAATGTTGCAGAGTTTGGGAAATTCATGCTGACTTTTGTTTCCCCAAGTGTTCAATTGCTAATGGCTTTCCTTGTTCTCTTGATAGCTTTTTTAAAATTTATTTCACATCCATTTAGTCCATATCAAGTGCCTAGTATATGTGAGGCAAAAACTGGGAGCTGAGGAGGGTATAGGGAGGCTTTGACAAAAATGAAACCATTCTGGCCTGCCCATGAAGAGATGTAATCTCTTTTCTTTGTTAAATCTTGTTTTTATTGATTACCTTTGTTTTTATGTCACTTTCATTCAAAAATATAACTTTATTATATATTTAAAAGCAATAGCAAGTTGTGCATAATAAATTTGCAGTTTCATGTGCAATCATCTTTTTTTAATTATGCTGTGTTATGGAAATGCTTGTTTTATTCCATAAATTAAAAATTAAATAAATGTGGAAAAAATACATCTCAACCCCACTCCTTGGCACAAAGAGGGGGAGGAAAGGGAGTTCTGCAAAACCATTTAACACAGAAAATAAACTCTGTGAGAAAAAGGATGGTTTTGTTATTTTTTTCTTTGAATCCTCCAGCGCTGGATAGGCTTTTAATAAAGGCTCATTGATCAATTGTGCCTGACAATATCTACAACCTAAGGACCTCATGTTCCACTGGGAGATACTAGTGAGCATGGAAGTAAACACAAAGTTCATGGTGAGTCATGAAAAGCAAGTTCACCATGGAAATTGTGCTAATGATTGAGAATAAGGAAAATTTGAGGTTTCTGTTGTCTCTCAAATGATATTTCTCTAATTTTGTGCTCCCACCCTAAACTAGGGTAAACTTACTCACCTGGGGTAAAACCTGATGATCACAAGTCTAAGAGTTGGAAGGGACCTCAGGGATCATCTGATCCAACCCCCTCATTTTACTGCTAAGGAAATTGAGGTCTAGAGAATTTAAGGACTTGCCCATGCTTCTCTAGGTAGTAAGCATGAGGTAGGACTTGAACCCAGGTCCTCTGCCTCTAGAGGCAGTGCTCTTCCCACTGCCTCCCTAAATTAATTAGCTCTTAGTTAACTTTGTTGCTTTTGACTAGCTGGTATTCCCTTTTAATTCAATAAATATTAAATACCTACTAGATGCAGAACCCTATTTTCAGAAACTGGAAGAACCCAAATTTAGCTAATGAAGGAGCCCATCTCCTAACAGTCTAGATCACAAAAAAAATTATTAGTTCTGTAAATTTGTCTTTTTTGATCAATCTGGAGAAGTAGGCCTGGATCTATCAAACCTAATTCCTAAGTTGCTGCTATTCAGATGTTTTCAGTTGTGTCTGACTCTTTGTGACCCCATTTGGGGTTTTCTTGGCAGAGATATTGGAGTGGTTTACCATTTCCTTCTCCAGATCATTTTACAGATGAGGAAATTGAGGCAAAGAGGGCTAAATGACTTGCCTAGGGTCACACAGTAAGTGTGACTGAGTAAGTGTCTGAGGCCAGATTTGAACTCAGGAAAACGAATCTTCCTAACTCTAGTCCCGCTGTCCTACCTACTGCTCCACCTAACTCCTAAAAACTTACCACAAAGTTGTAAGAACTTAACCTAAGAACATGCCTAATAACGTGTTAAAGAGACATGAGTGTATCATCACTTTACCTGCCTGTTAGTTTCCATAAACCAAATGGCAGTCCCCTTCCCCACATTTAGTGGCACAGATGCTAAAATTGCATCCTTCCTTGGCAGGATATATCAAAGAAGGTAAATCTCCTCTATCTTAGGATTGTACTCACTTAAGTATGTTCTGTTTACTAATTCCCTATCTTCAAGAAGCCTGGCCAGAAATACTCCCAACCTTGATCTACCTTGACTTTTTGACCTGGTAATCTTCTCATCTTATTGGCCTCCTGACCAATTTTTGCTTGTGTCTTGGTTGACCTTTTGCTTGTGTCTTGATTGAGATAAATCCACGATCCTATCATGTGGCTTCTGGACTGTTGGGTCCAAGAATATTCCCATATCTACTTGACTCTTTTCTTCTCTACGAAGGTCTCCCACCTCCCCAACTGCCATTGCCACTCAAGATCCATCTGATAGTCTATTTAGGATCCAAGGGAAACCAGAATTCATTTCCCTTTGACAGTCAGACTCAACAGAAATGATGGGGTTTTCTCTCATTGTTATTCGTAACAATTTCAGGCCTCCTTTGCCCATTCCCCCTCCTCTCACTCCAGGCTCTGGTAACATTTGCCATCCTTCAGTATACAACCCACACTGGAAACACATTAGAACATAGCTCTTCTTGACATAGTTTTTATAAGTTATCTTGTCCTCCAAAACCTAGCAACTTCTTGTAGTAAAGCCTCGATAGAACACAGGCTGTATTCATTTAGGTTATTTCTTTTTCCACTCCTTTTATGCCTTTTCCCCCTAAGGGGGTGTTTTGATGTGAATCTCTCTTTTTTAAAATAACTAGAGATTTTCTCTATGAATGTCATGTGTTTCCCATAAAAATTTTCATTTGAATCAGTTATCTGTGTAATTTTTAGCTGTCTGAAATCTATATAAACAAAGAGAAATGAAAAGTGGAAAAACATTATTTGAGTTATTATAATTTGTTTCTTCCTCACCTTAGCCCAGGTCCTTACATCCCAATGTCTCTTTTGGAATATAATTTTCTTAAATGAGTCCAGGGCAGTATAAAATCATAACTGTTCAGAGCTGGAAAGAACTTTACAGATAGTCTAGTCCAGGCTTTGGTAAATTCTGGCTTGTGGGCCATCATTTTTATCTATTTTAAATAAAAACTATTCTTAGTTCATGGGCAACATGAAACAAGCAGTGGGCTGGATTTAGCCCATGGGCCATGGTTAGCCAATCCTTGATCTAATCCAATCTCCTCATTTTACAGATAGGGCCCTTGAGGCCCAGGGTAGTGAAGTGATTTAAACCAGGTCACAGAGTTAGCTAGTTAGTGATAGACTTAGGATGAGACCTCAGGTCTCCTGACTCCAAAGGCATTGCTTTTCTTATTTTATACCATATCACATTAGTCATTGTTAACCATTTTCAGGTGGCATTTTGTAAACTTCAAAGTATAAAAGTTTATGTACAGATATGCCTCTAATTTGGTGTCTGTGTGTGGATCCATTTGGGTGTAGATTTAAGTGTAGGTGTGTACGCGATAGACACGTATTTGGGCTAGACTTTGGAACATGAATATGTTGATTATAGACAAGGTAGAGAGAGGGCATACCAAGCTAGGAAAGAGTTTAATAAGGGCATGGAGTGGGAGAGCCAAAGTTATAGTTTAGGGACAATAAATAATATAGTTTGGTAAGAACAAAAGGTTCATTTAGGGCAGAAGTTCTTAACCTGAGGTCCATGAGCTTGTTTTTAATGTGTATACATACACACATATGTATGCATATACACATGCATGAATACACACATATATTTGCACAATGTAATACATTATGTATATACATATACACACACATATACACATAAGACACTTCATATGCATGTACAATACATATACAGATGCACATACATAGTATATATGTATGCATGTACACATTAGCATGCATAATACACATGCACACAATGCATCTACACATATACATACAAATATATACATATAAGATACATCATATACATATACAGATGCACATACATATATACATATACAACTATATTTCATTATAATTGGTTTCCTTTGTAACCCTATGAATTTTATTTTGTGCATTTGCAAACATTACTTAGGGAAGTGTCCACAGCTTTCATTAGATTGTCTGAGAGATCTACCACACAAAAAAAGTTAAAGAGCC